ATTCATGCCTTCGAGGAAGGTCCCGCTTGAACGCTCACATCGTTTTTTTTTTCGTTTGGGGGAAAACTAAAACTGGTCGCAATTTTCGAATAAGAATGAGTCGGCAATTTTTAGTGGAGTCGAAAATTTGTAGGTAAATAAAACACAGAAACCGGCAAATAAATAGGCGATCGAATTTTTAGAGGGGTCGAAATTTTGGAGTTTTCACGGTACTAATTATTCCATTTCAATGAAACTTAGTATAAAGATGCTCTAGGACAATGTACAAACCTAATTAGTTTTGGGTAAAAATCTGTTCATATTAATTCCCTAATAAGCATAATAATTCATAATTTTTTGGTTCTAATCACATTTCAATTAAACTTGGAGACATAGATTTTCTGTTACATTGCGCAGAACTCATTAGTTTTACACTCAAATCTGGTCATATTAATTTTCTGATTTGCATAATTAGTTTTCAGCTAAATAATTTCGAATTATATTTAATGTGTCTCCAATACTCTCAGCACATGGGAGTTCTTTCTAAGCTTTCTTTGATTACTATTTTCACTGAAGAAATGATTCAGTGAAATTAAAATCTAGTGAATATACCTTTTTTCCTATATTTTACAATCAAAATATTTCATACAAAACACCTATAATGTTTCAACAACAATTAATTCCAGCTATAATAAAGTATTTTACAGTACGGTACTATTGGTAGTTACTATATGTGTGATTCATATCATTTTTATATCTATTTAGAAAACTTCCAAAAAGAACCTGTCCAGGTTAAAGACTATAGACAGCCATGTATTTTTTAAAAAGAAGTGGGTGAAAGGAAGTGACCATATTGTGTTTGAGTCAGCAAAATACAGAGGTAAGCAACACTGGTATAACATTCAATATGCTCAGCTGAAAAGTGTCCATTGTATCACATGACTTGATCTTAACTCACTCCACTGTTCTCCAGACATACTATAATCACATGACTTGATCCTAACTCACTACACTGTCCTCCTGACATACCATAATCACATGACTTGATCGTAACTCACTCCACTGTTCTCCTGACATACCATAATCACATGACTTGATCGTAACTCACTCCACTGTTCTCCTGACATACCATAATCACATGACTTGATCGTAACTCATTCCACTGTCCTCCAGACATACCATAATCACATGACTTGATCGTAATTCACTCCACTGTTCTCCTGACATACCCAGTACCATAATCACATGCCTTGATCTTAACTCACCCCACTGTCCTTCAGACATGCCATAAATACGTGGCTGTACTTTACTCATCCCACACTCTCCAGACTTGTCATAATCACATAACTCAACTCTGAATGCTTAACTTTTAAGAGTGCCAAAATACATGCGTGTCTAAATTGTGTATGTTTCTGATTTTTTTAGATCTCTATTTAGCCAAGAGTGGCAAAGGTGTCTTATTGATAGAACAGAAAGATTCCAGTGATCTGGAACCAAGTACAAAATTCAAGTTAAGCATGGATGTCTAATAATAGTGTTGCTATGGTTACTGTGGAGATGATTAATCTACATGTACAGGTGTTTTGTTCACCAACATTATTCAGTGTTTCAAATTATAATTACCAGTACTGCCTTAAAATGCGTATGTATATCATACATATATTTTAAATATTGTGATTTATTGACAGTTTTTTTTCTGATGTATCTTATACAATTTATGTACTAACTGTTTCTTTTTTTTAAAAATAACATCTTAGTTATTTTTTTAACATTCATCAAATAAAGAATGTATTTATTTTCAATTGAACTGATTTTAATTTTGTATTTTAAATTAAGATTTGCCAGATGTTAAAGTCTCATAAATGATTTTAATTATGGCTTGGCTCAAACTATTCTGACAGCATTATTTGATTATTTGACTGAAATTGTATGAGAAGTTGTATATTTTTTTAAAACGCAAAATCTTGTACTAGAATTTCTTTTTGAAGCCAGTATATTTAAAGTTCATTATTTTTTTATTTAAAAATATAAATACAATTTATATTGCCAGTATACAAATTTATAACATATTAATTAAAGCTACCATAGTAATGTTCAAAGAAACCTATCGATCAAAGAAAGCTTAAAAAGAACTTGTGCTTGTTCTAAAACTATTGAAAGCATGTAAAATAGAAATAAGGTAATAAATTTGATTGTACAACAGTGATTTGCTGTCAGTGAATTGTGTGAGAGCATCTACATGCATCAAAGTTAATATAAATAAATT